ATTAAGAGTAAGAACAAGTTCAGCTAAGCGTAACAAAGTGGGAGTACTAGGCTCGAGGATAGGATGAAGATTGAAAAAAAATGCTGATGGGCACGAAGGCCCTCATCATTATGAATGACAGTATAGTTTATATCATGTTTCGTAACGTTGCCTTCACTCACAACGCTAGTTTTATTCTAAATTTAATGTACATTGTACGATGTACTTTATCATTTACTGTACCATTGCTACATATCTACGACACTATATCCATAATATCCTTATATCTAGTCTCGTACGCTCAACTATTTCAACCCACTTACCACCTAACCCCTTCTCCTCGTCCATCAACCACTACCTTACTGTGCAGTAATATTTATTTATTTATTCATTATCTATATCTTCTTTTTTTATCATTTTCCTCATGCTTTACGGGTAGCACTTCAATAATAATGCTGGTAATACTATGCAGTATTCAACACTCAACGTTTTTAAAAAGAGTTGTATATACATATAACTTAAACATTACAAAATATTACAAACTAATATTTACTTTTTGATTCCGTCAAGTTGATACTTGAATACAGTGCAATTTACGGTGCTGACACACTGTGAAACATTGCACGCAGCAGCATTGTTGCAGCGTGTCTAACCTAAACTTGTTGCAACGTTACATGCAACAAATCTGAAGTTGAATCGCGCTCTACTCTTATAACATTGTGCGCAACAAATTTCATCATGTGAACATGGCTGCAACATTACCTGCAACATTTTGAAATTTCCAGCCAATCAGCCTGCACCAAATTTATAACTGCTGACCAAATATCTTAATAACCTAGCAGACACAAGCGATGTTGCGTGATTTTGTTGCAATGTGTGTTATCCCGATTCAAATTTGTTGCTTGCAATGTTGCGCGCAATGTTGCACCGTGTGTTAGTACCTTTAGTATTTTCCGCAATATTCTATAAATATTTTTGTAATTGTTGATTATTGTAAGTACATGCAGCGGTTATGTCAATCAAAGTCAGGAATGTCATCATATGAATATCCTTTATAGCCTTTCCATGCATAATAAGCCAGACGAACATGGTAAAAACCTGGTATAAACATAAGTGATCCCAGGATAAGAAGTGGATATGTTCTGTCAGCATACTATAATGAATAGAAAATACAAATCCATTAGATTAAATCTTGAACATAAAGCTTAATAGACCTCTTCGGCTCTGACGTAATGTTTTCCCATTTCAGCCCACATGTCATTCCCTAGAGTATCATTTCTTTGTTTAAGGTTTGCGCTCAGTTGCACATGAGAAGACACATGGATACACCTAAAACAAAGAATCTTATTCTCAAGGGAATGGCACGTGGTCTGAAATGGGAAAACATTACCAAAAAGGTCTATACGTTTAAATAAGGAAAACAATCTGAATTAAACTTTTCCAAACAGTTTTATGGACCGTTTATATAGTAAAATAAGCCGTTTCGCTAAAGATCATAAGCCCTAAAAGGATACTATTTTTTAAACGACGATCGCCTTTTTGCTCTCCAATAGCCATGGTCAGAAGTTCATAACTAGTATAATATTTGAAATTTAGTATAATTTTAGCTTGCGCAAAATCCTTCTAATTTTCTTAATACAACTAATATAAAACACCTCTGTACTGTGATATACAAAAGGCTCTGGGAGCTTTAAAGCATTGATTTTCTTCCTAACAACAAACTAAACCCAAAAAATATTTACCTTGACATTAAAATGTCCTGTAAATAAAAGAGATCCAACAACCAAGAGAATTGTCCCAACTGAAAACAGAACAGCAGCGAGACATATGGCCTTCAATGGAACTTTGGGAGGAGGTTTAATAAACTGCAGAGTAAAAAAGTCCAACTGTTAGAATTTCCCAAACAACACCTCCCCCCTCAGTTCTGACAGAGTTCATGTTGATATTTTTGAGAATGTTCAAAACGTTTGTAATCAGTGTTCTGGATATTTGACACAAGCTAGAGGTTTGGCAAGCGCTGACCTGGGAAGGCACGTTTTTTCCCCTTAACCACGAGGAAGACTGAGACCTAACAAACCCCACTCACATGCCTTCCTGGTCACCACCCCCTTATTATCTGTAAATCCATAAATAGTGTTATTTTTAAATGTCATTATTTGATGCAGGGAGCCAAAAGCCATCCCCGTACCTTTCTTTGACTTCAATTTGTTGAATGCCTTTGGAAGGCAATCCAGTTCGAACTGTTATGACTTTCTAGTTCCTATTACTATCTATTATATAGTTAGGAATGTACGTGCGCGCTGATTGGTCGAAAACTGTGCTTTATTAGTGAACGGAGCACAGTGCTGACGCCATCCGAGCGCACGAAGTGCTGCTAGATCCTGATGCCACCGTCTTTCGTTTGGCGTAAATAAATTCAATACCGAAATAAAATTAGTAACTATATATATATATAYACACACACACATATATACATATATATAATAGAACAGCTTTTTCCGTGCTCCGTTCAGTAATAAAGCACTAACGAAGCGCCGTTAGTATTCAAGAAGTGTGAGAGCACTACGTCTCGTGCTTCTCCTCCTTACACTTCTTTCGTGCTTACATCATGTTCTGCTTGCTTTATTACTGAACGGATCACTGAAAAAGCTGTTTTACTGTTTTGTTACATAAAACTATTGTTTATTGGGCCGAAAACCTGAAAAAAAGGAAATATTGGGCTATGAACAAAATGTTCGCTGATTGTCTAATTCCGTACAGGCCGAGTGAAGGGAAACCCCCGAATATAATAGTTTTGATAAAAAGTAAAAAAAAAAAATTTTTTTTTAAATTTCAGATGTGCAAATTCTCTAAGGTGACTGCCTATTTTTGGGAAAAAATTAAACTTTTTTTAAAACTATATTCTCTTAAAGTGAAATTTAATGCTGATTCCAAATACGAAAAGAAAAATGGGGTGTCCCGAGCTTGTTTTCGAGATAATCGGCATTCAATGGATGCCTACGCGCGAGCTTTTGGAGCAAAAATTGCGCCATCGGAAGTGATTAGAAAAAATTAAGAAAATAGTTATTTGCAGACTATATGATTGCACGAATCACGGCTAGTCAATCATTCTACAATATTACGTGGATATTTTCTACAAAAAGACAAATAAATACATTGATTCGTCATATTTAAAAAATATCAAAAGTTGTTATAACTTAGACTTTTAGGAGTTTTTTTGAATAAGCTATTAAAAAATAGTCCTGTGCAAAATTTGAGGGTTTTGCCCTGTTGAAGCTCAAAACGCGTATGGTTCTTTAATAAAATCTTGTAGATTTTCCAGCGGTTTTTGAGCGCGCGCACATCGTGGGCTAAAATCGAACGTTCAAAGTAGACAGTCCCGTCACCTTAAGGTAATTCCCTGGTTTTGCACTGCGCATTTTTCTGCGCATAGGAGTAAAATCATGGAACTTACACAGTTTGGCCATTTTCCTTTCATATACTAAGTAAAAATTCTACCCTAAATATCACTTTTTCCCCCTTTTTTCTTAATCGACAAATATTGTGATTTTTGTAAAACTTGACCCAGTCTTCCCTCGGAAAAGCATAACTTTAATTGTACAGGTTTAGCCTCGTTTAAGACTAAATCATTCGCAACAGTCAACTGGAAAGTGAAGAATTTGAAAGATGTTGAACTTCGCATGAGCCGAAAATATTAACATCAAAGAAGACCGCCTTGTTATCCATTGTTTCAATTTGGTTCGGCTCATGTGAAGTTCGAAATGCATTATTAATAACATAATTTACCTGAGCATCTACATAACCATCATCTTCACCAGACAACTTATAATACTTGACCTTGCTTCTGCTTTTCATTTGAAATCTAGAATTATTGCAATCAGACCTTAAGTGACGGAAAATTGGGATAGTACTTGTTATGTATGTAAGACTACACGAAATGGCACTATTCGATTATTAATAGTGATATCATTAATGATTGATTTTAATGTCCTGAAACCCTAACCCAAACTTTTATTACAGAATAGTGCCATTTTATGTAGTCTTACATGAAGTAGTAAGGTGAAATGGTATAATACATGGTGGCCGAACCAACACTCAGGGTCTTACAATAACTGAGGAGAAAGTGTTGCCTTTGTAATGGTAAGACATTCAAGTGGCTCGATGACCACTTTAAATGTCGGATTGGTCTCTCCACATTTCATTATTACTATATTGGTTAAACCAATATCAGAGGGTCGTAAAAGAACCACTGAGGATGTAAAGAAACCCTGGCTTTGACCATACTCACTACCTACGATTCATACTAACCACCTCATGATTGTACACGCCTGAATATGTACATAGAAATAAAAGGCACTGTATAATTCCCAAATCACAATACACTATCTGCCATATTGTTTTTACTGCTAAGCCATGACCAAGTTATTCTGAAACTTAAGGCTAGTGTTTCTATATGTGAGCCCCTGGCTGGAGAGAATTGGGCATCCACTCCAGTTTCTGCATCATCGAAAACCTTTTTTTCAACAAGTTACCGTTTATAAGTAATATAAAAAATGAGCATTTATGATTACAAGTGTTTGATGGGCCAGCCAGAGCTGGTTGGAACCCCTGATAAAATAGCTTTTCAAACTCATTTTATCAATAATATATGAGGTAAATATTTGCTTATGTATTATATATACTGCTATATATAGTCTATAGTGGCGAGTTAGTGATTTTGGATGGACTAGGTTTTATGACTAATGCACTTGTCATCAGCTTCCACGAGGATGGGGGGGGGGTTACCCCAGGCTATACTCAGGGAGGTGTGGGGGAAAGTGGGGTCTTAAATCCTTGCCCCAGTACCTGGGGGAATAGTGGTAGATAGATAAAATGTTCTGAAACCTCCTGGAAGCATTAGAGTTATTTGTAAAGAGCTGTTTTCAATAAAGTATTGGACTCTAAAGGTCTAAAAAAGCAAACTGAGTCAGTATAAACATTGTTTTTTGTTTGAACCACACAAAAAAGACAGCTAGATGGTTAGCTTCAATTATTATAAAGGAGTAGAGAGAATAAGAGAAAAATATTATAGTTCATATAATAAAAGTGCAAAAATGCAGTAATATTTTGTTAGCAAACATGAGTTGTAATAGGCCAATAATTATTACATACAATTCTTCACCTATCAAATAGCCTGTACAAGTTCACATCAATTCAGTGTCAGTTTTGCTTGTAGTTTCTGTTAGCATACAAATGAAYATCACTTGATTTCCATCTTATTGCTGCATGTTTAAATAAATTAACTTTTAAGTCAAGTTAACTGTAGCAGCAAGCTCAAGCTTGAGACAGATGCTGATTTAGTATTTCAGTAAGAGTTTGTAGAAGGTTAAAATATCATCAAATGCCCTATTTGCTATACATGTTACTAAGATCTTGTCTTTCAGTTTGTTTTATGGATTTAGTGTGTGCACTCTACTGTTTTGTGTTACTTTTGTGATCTGTTATTTCAACTCTTTAACAATTTTGCACCAGTAGGCCTAGGGGCTGGTGGAATATAGGGGTATTTTCTAAGAAACCTTGCCCCATATCTGTTTTCTCACTGTTGAATAGTTAAGTAAATGTATCTAACTTAGATAACTATTTAGTTGACGTCACCTAAAATAGTTAAAACATCCCAAATAATGGTCATGCTAATCCGGGGGGTTGTTTTACCAGAGAATAAGTGAATAGACATTCATTTTTATCATCGTTTCTCCCCCTGATCTCGGTAGCTGTTTACTTGTAGTTTCAAATTTAGGTGACGTCAGCTAAAATAGTAAATAACTTATCTAATTTAGTTGACGTCACCTATTCAACAGTGAGACTAAAAGCACTCTATATTTTTAATGGGTATGGACAGAGATTCAAATTAAGGTATAAAAATATCGCATGGTGTCATCCTCTGGAATCTGGTTGTGTATGGTGTTACAGTTGTATTAATTACCGGCTACCAACTCATCTATTTGAATGAATTATTAATGAGTTGGAGAAGCTTTAAAGTGCCTATCACCCTTTTTTTTTTACTTTTTTATATCCAAATATAAGCTATTCTAAGAAACGTGTCGAAAGAATTTTTTGATTCTGACCCTTCTTTCTATTTTTTTCGAGCGGTCAAAAGTGCGAAAATAGGCATTTCTTTGACTCTGGCCGCGTAAAATGAAAACTTAGAGGACTGGGCTGTGACGTAAGAGGAGTAAGTTGGGTTTAGATGTTTCCTCATTCTCTCTAGATTTCACT